ACCAAAATATTAATACTAATGATCTCTGGCTGGTGGCATTAAAAGGGAGGTTTAAAAAAAAACAAAACAACACAGGCTAATGTTACAAGCTTGTTTTCCTTCTTTCTTGGGTTTTCTCAGTAATTGTCACCAAAGAAAAATATGCCAAAATGGAAACAGCTCGGCCCTAGTGGCACCCTAGGTTAAGTGTTGGACAGTTAACTGCAGAGTTTGAGGTAAAAACCACCAGTCTGTTTTGTGGGAGAAAGTTGGGGTGATCTACTCTAGTGAGGATTTACAGCCTGGGAGAGCCTAACTAGGGCTGCTGGAGTGGGAATCAATTTGATGGCAGAGGTTATTCAGGTGGCTGAGAGAAACCATGTGGCGCAGTGTTTAAACTTTCATCCTCGAGCTCAAAGATCACCTGTCAGAACTCATCAGTTTCTCCACGGAACAAAGAAGTGGCAGTCTGTCCCGTAAAGATGACACCCTTAGAGATCATATAGATTAGTGCTGTTGTTGTTCTTATTGGTATGTGCCACTGCGTCAGCTCTGACCCACAGATAGCCTATGTACAACGAAGTGAAGCACTGCACGGTCCTGTGCCACCTTCACAGTTGTTCCTCTGCCTGAGCCCACTGATGCTGACACTGTGCCCAGCCATCCCGTTAAAGGCCTTCCTCTCTTTCCGTGCCCTTCCACTTTGGCAAGCATGATGTCTTCCCGGGACTGGTCTCTCCTGGCAACATGTCCAAGTATGTAGGACAAAGTCTTGCCATTCTTGCCTTTAAGAAGCACTCTGGCCATACTTCTTCCAACACAAATCCGTTTGTCCTTTCAGCAGTCCATATACTTGCAGCATTCTTCTTCCATAGCACCATAGTTCAAACGCACCGATTCTTCTTTGGTCTTCCCTATTCAATACCTAACTTTCACATATGAGGCAATAGAGATACCATGGTTTGAGGTAGGCACACCTTAGTGCTCAAAGTAACAGCCTTGCTCTTCAATGCTCTAAGGAGGTCTTATGAGGCAGATTACCTAAAGCAATATGTCTTGTGATACCTTGACCACAGCGTCCATGAGCATTGACTGTGGATCCAAGCAAG